AACGCCATTTCCGATTCGTCTAAATTATCTTATTGTATCAATTGTTGCAAACAGTATATAAAGTCGACAAAAGTTGAACATGTCACAGTATATTCGGACAGTGAACTGAGTTGCTAAAATATTAACATGAAATTCGCAGCTTGTTTGGTTTTTGTTACCTTGGCAGCATTTTTGGTGAGTTGTAAAGATATTTGCTGATACGTTTTGTTTTTTACCACCCAGAGTTTAAAAATAAAAATAATTGGTAAAAATAATATTTTCCGAAAAATTATAAATTTCTACGAGTGCTTTTTGCAAAAAATTTATTATTCTGAGGTTTATAGAATTGTATTTACTATTTACATGCTTAAGGATCTAACGAAAAAGTACTTTCACTGAGAAAGTCACTTTGTATGTAGTAAAAGTTAGAAATTGAGATGAATGAAGAATTAGGGTAGTTAAAATATTGTAAATATAAATAATTAATTGTTAATTTAGTTAATTTTTGGTTGTTTTTTTATTCTAGATGCAGAGTGACGCGAACCCTCATGAAGGTCTTCGTACTTTGTCGGGCTTAGGAAATGATGGAATAATTTTGCTACATACGTCAGGAATCGAAAAAGGACATAAAAATACTGCGAATGGTTTTGGAGGGGGACCGGGAGGGGGACAGGGAGGGGGACAGGGAGGGGGACAGGGAGGGGGACCGCCACCAAGTAAGAAAAGCATATTTTTTATATTTTACAGCAAAGAACAAATTTTTTTTAGTCTGAATTTTTTTCCATAATTTTAAATAAAATAAATTGCCAAAAATATAATTTCCCGTATTAAATACTTGACTGCTCTATTCATTTGTGTAGTGTGAATTATGATAATTCGTGGGTGTTTCTTTTTGTAATTTAATTATATTTTCAGCAACTGCAGCCACAACTACAACAGCGTCATCAGGATAGAGAAGAATATACTGCACGTTGTAATTAATTTGAAATAAATTTTAGAAAACAAATAAAGCACTCTTCATTCCAGTTAAATAATTGTGGTTTTGTTACAATATCTACTGTGTTACCTCAAACCTCATTATAGTTCCCAAGATATAGTCCAGGGAACGAAGAGAAAAATGGGGTTAAACCTCCAAATACTTTCGGATAGATCCGATTTTTATGAAAATTTGGAGTTAAGCATATTTCACCCTGTAGATAAAAAGTTATGTATACTTGATATGCGCTTCTTATTTTTAAGCGATGAAAACCACAAATTATGCTAAAAAGCTGAAAAAATATAAAAATAGGTGTTATACAGGGTGTTTCAGAAAGACCTCACTTAAATACAGGGGGTGCTGATAAGACAAAAAATAAACATTTTTTGTCTTATGAACTATATGTCTATCTCCTCTTGTTTTCAAGATACAGAGCGACAAAATAAATTTTTTTAAATAGAATTTTTACGAAAATTCCAAACATCGCGAAATATTTTTATGAAATTTGGTATTCCGGGGTTTTTCATTATGCCAAATACGCTGGTCTAATTATTTCTTGGATATTTCATAGAGGGCGCTAGTTATGCTACATTCATGTAACATTTTACGTTCTAATTTTTTTAAGATTAGGTTTTTTACTATACGGGCTTCAATTTCTAATGTAGGTACAATTTTATTTTCTAAAAATAATGTACTCTTGCAAGAACTTCTTAAATGGACGGTTTCGAGAAAAAATACTTTTAATTAAACACTAAATTAAACTGTCACTGCAAGAGACTAACAACAAATTGACAGTTTAGTTGTTTGTTTTGAAGTATTGTTAAAAATTCCACAGCTAGATTTTAGGTGATTCCACAAAAAATATTAGATAACTTAAAAACTAGAAGAGAATAGGGAACACTCATACCGTTCGAAAGAGAATAAAATTATGTATCAGAATATAGAAAAAAATACATTTAAAAAACTGACTTATGAAGGTTTGAAGTTAACTAAACTCGGCATTAAATTTCTAACACCCTGTATGCAAATAAGCCATTTTGAAAGTATGGATGGGAAGCTTAGGGGTCTAGCTATCCCCCCTATTGTTTTATCTTTCTTACTATAAAATACACATGCTTTGAAGCTAGTCACTATTTCTCTCCACTTTTTTTGAAAAAAATTAAATATCTCGAAAACGGTTAATTTTAGGAATAAGGGAACTTCATAAAAGTCCACCTAAAATAATACGTAGAATCCAAAACCCCAATAATATATAGGGTGTTCCATTTTAAAATAAGCAAGTTGATGGCGACTTCCCATATAACCGGAATTGGTACGTGGACGCCATTATTTTAGTTGAGAAGGGCATGCTCGAAAACCCGGTATCCCAGATTTTCAAAAATCAAATCGAAGTAGTCTCTGAAATAATTCTAATGGGCCGTCACCGTGAGACACCCTGTATAGTTCATGAGACAACAAATTCTTATTTTTTGTCGTACAATCACCCCCTGTATTTACGGGAGGTCTTTTTGAAACACCCTGTATAGACTAAAATCATATCTTAATATATAAATATTGTTTTTTATCGGGGGTCATAATTTACATTATTTATATAAAGTTTCAACCCTTAAAAACCACCCTTAATAAAAAAATATAAAATTAATAGTTTCTTTGACCTTCAAATATGTTTACAGCGCATATATTATAGATGGAAATCCTTTCAATAGTTTATGGTATTATACATAATTTATTACAATATTTCAACCCTTAAAAAACTACCCTCAATGACAAAATATTAAATAAAATAGCTTTTAGCAGTTTGAAATGATTTGATGATACAAACAGGATAAATTAAATTATTTTACCTGTCGCATTGTTTTAACCCTTAGAAACCACCCCCAATGACAAAATATAAAAAAATGGTTTATACTATTATACATTTAAAGTTGATAAGTAGAAAAATTAAAAGATTAAAGGGAAAAAGTGAAGGTATTCTATGTATCTCCAAAAAAAATATTGATATGATACGAAAATTGAAATGGTAAGGTACCGTTGATTTTACGGAAAATTTCGACAGCTAAAAGTACTGTAAAATGGAATATTTTTTAGTGTTATTTTCGACATTTTTGAGGTTAAAGGGTTTGAAAAACATGACCTTTGCCCTCAACTGCAAACTTCTAGCAGCGATATATCTGTTAATTCTTTCCTACACAAATAAAAAAATAAACAAAATATTCCGTGAAAAAAAATCTTAAATATTTGTCGTATCTTTTTTATTTTTAGTTATATTCAAAAATATGTTATTTTTTTGGAATAATATTTTTTCAATCAAAACGTAATATTTTCAAAAATATGCATTCTAAACCGCTTAAACTTGTTTAATATATTGTTAGCACATAAAAATTGTAAATTGTAGAAGGATTTCATTTAATATTAAATCTCGTGAAAAATTCATCAGTTTTTGTACTGATTTCTTTTCCGAAAAAGCGAATTTTTATTTTTTTTTTTCAATCAAAACGTAATATTTTCCAAAATATGCATTCTAAACCGCTTAAACTTGTATAATATGTTGTTAGCACATAAAAAATGTAAATTGTAGAAGGATTTCATTTAATATTAAATCTCGTGAAAAATTTATCAGTTTTTGTACTGATTTTTTTTCCGAAAAAGCGAATTAACAGTTTTATTTTGATCATAAATCTGTTAATTTTTTAGCTAATGATTTAAAGTCAAGTTCATTTTAAAGATTTTTTAAAGTACTTTGAAAAATGTTCTGTACATTTTTCTTGAAAAATAGAATTATTTTTGTTATTTTACGTTAAATGCTTCCAATTTAGTTTCTTTCGGACATGAAATTATTTTCAACCAGCCGTATCTCAGCACCTATAAAAACCCAATCTTTTTCTTTTTCTATAGGCTTCATTTTCTTCGTGATTTTTTTTTCATAGAATGTCTATGTTCCGAGTTATTCGAGAAAAACTACTGAAAAACGTATTTTTTTAATAAAAAAATATACATTTTCAATCACCGATAACTCATTGACTCATCCAAAATGTTCAGATACTTACTTTTTTTAACATGATAATAATGTCGGTTGTGGATAAATAAAAAGTGAGATCACCCCTTATAAATCTGATTTTTNAAAAAATATAATTTCATATTTCAATCAAACTAGCCTGATAAATAAAAATGATGGTTGCTATCACAATAATTATTATTTCTGTTTAAAGTTTAAACATTAGTTAAATTTTATTATTTTATCCTGGGGCTGCTTGTCTGGCGTTCCCATTGGAATACCCATGTACAAAGACAATACTTTTCAGTTGTAAATAAATGCATTTTTTATTTAACACTTCAAAGCTAAATGTCAAATGAATAAACAACATGACACAAATAATAATAATTATTGTTATAGAAACCATAATTTTTATTTATCAGGCTACTTTGATTGAAACATGAAATTATAAATAAAAAATAAATTAAATGCCAGTAATTTCTAAACAAAAACGAATCGGATCTATGTTCATATAAGAAAAAATGTTTGATTAACCTAGCTATATAGATTTTTTTTTTATTATTTGGAAAAGGCAAAATTTCACTTTTTTAAAGCTCTTAAATGTCTCGAAAATATTTTCCTATACACAGAAAAAAACGCATAAGCCATCTAAACCAATATTAAAAATCAGAAATGATTAAAATCTTCAATTCATTTTATCCTTTTGTAAATATTTTTGAACCGTAATTACTGTATTTACTTGCATTGCACGATACAATAATGTTAGTTTTCGTCGTTTGACCAGCGCCTTCGCCAGAATATCGAAATTACAGTATCCAAGCATTTTATATTATGACATCTAATAACGCATAATTATTATTTTAGGATTTAACACAAATGTAAATAAACCTTATTTAACAGTTGAAGGAAGCGGTTAAACATTAACTAAAGTGACGAAGCATTGAAATGCAAGGTGAAACGCCATTTCCGACCTGTCTATATTATATTATTGTATCAATTGTTGCAAACAGTATATAAAGTCGAAAAAAGTAGAACATATCACAGTATATTCGGACAGTGAACCGAGTTGCTAAAATATTAACATGAAATTCGCAGCTTGTTTGGGTTTTGTTACCTTGGCAGCATTTTTGGTGAGTTGTAAAGATATTTGCTGATACGTTTTGTTTTTTACCACCCAGAGTTTAAAAATAAAAATAATTGGTAAAAATAATATTTTCCGAAAAATTATAAATTTCTACGAGTGCTTTTTGCAAAAAATTTATTATTCTGAGGTTTATAGAATTGTATTTACTATTTACATGCTTAAGGATCTAACGAAAAAGTACTTTCACTGAGAAAGTCACTTTGTATGTAGTAAAAGTTAGAAATTGAGGTGAATGAAGAATTAGGGTAGTTAAAATATTGTAAATATAAATAATTAATTGTTAATTTAGTTAATTTTTGGTTGTTTTTTTATTCTAGATGCAGAGTGACGCGAACCCTCATGGAGGTCTTCGTACTTTGTCGGACTTAGGAAATGGTGGAATAATTTTGCTACATACGTCAGGAATCGAAAAAGGACATCAACATACTGCGAATGGTTTTGGAGGGGGACCGGGAGGGGGACCGGAAGGGGGACAGGGAGGGGGTCAGAGAGGGGGACAGGGAGGGGGACCGCCACCAAGTAAGAAAAGCATATTTTTTATATTTTACAGCAAAGAACAATTTTTTTTTAGTCTGAATTTTTTTCCATAATTTTAAATAAAATAAATTGCCAAAAATATAATTTCCCGTATTAAATACTTGACTGCTCTATTCATTTGTGTAGTGTGAATTATGATAATTCGTGGGTGTTTCTTTTTGTAATTTAATTATGTTTTCAGCAACTGCAGCCACAACTACAACAACAGCGTCATCAGGATAGAGAAGAATATACCGTACGTTGTATTTAATTTGAAATTAATCTTTGAAAACAAATAAAGCACTGCTTACTTCTGTTAAATAATTGTGGTTTTGATTCATTATGATACCTTATTATAGTTCCCAAGATTGGATTGTTACAGTGTTACAGTTATTCTGCACTGATAAAAAAAGCAATTAGTGCTTTGAGTTATACAATCAATTTTACATATACAAAACATGTTCAAGTTGTACAAATTAACTGAAGTAATTAATAATAGACAAGTTCTACGTTTTGACTGAGCAAAAAATGTAATATTAAATAAGACATGGGTATATTAACACTTCTACTATGTGACTAACAAAAATGGTGGATTTGGAATGTCAGGAAAACTATAAATTTTTCTAAAGAACTTTGACTTCTTTAATAAGGTCAATGTTTCGAGGCTACACCATTGTAATTTGATATTTGTTCTATTTATTTCGGTAGTTTGCCCTTGCGAAAACAAAAAAAAAATAACTAGAATTAATTTACAATAGAATTAACCCTCATAATTTTTACTATATATTAAGGTTTTAGGCTAAATTAAACAAATTTAAAATCGTTTTTTCCAAAAAATATCCTATGAAGTTAAATACTGTTCTTCGATACTATAGGGCGTTTCATAATAATATGTTATACAGGGGAGAGGGGAGGATCAATCTGCGCATGTTTTAATTAAAAAAGTTTATATAAACATATGTCCGTAAATGCTTCGTTACCATGGTACAGAGTGTTAAAGTTTCAATAATTTTTGTTTTTTCTTTTTATCTCTCACAGTTTTTGAGATATGTAGCTCGGAACGTAGGCTAACTTAGATTACCTGCATCGTTAGCTCTGCCTAATACTTGTCACGATATACAGAGTGATACTTTTCCTGAGGTCGAGCCTCCTTTAAGCCCCCGAACTTTCTTTCGGTGCGGCACTGGTCATTTTTAGAACAAGGGTTTAATTCTGTTCTGTTCAATTTATAAACTTTTTTGTCTCTTGCAATTTTTTTGTACCTATCTGCGGCCGTTTTTGCACAAAATAATAAAAAATGATTTTCTGTAACTCGCTAAAATAAAAGCCGGATTTTAAAATCCTCTAGTAGGTTTTGACTGACGCATAATTGTTTTGTTTTATTAATTTTGATCTTCGGTTTACAAATATTACTACTTAGATACTACTTGACTACTTAGATACTACTTGACTACTTAGATAATTATTAATTAAGATATATATANAGTGACAAGTTTTGACATATATAGAAATTTTGTTAATAAATACATTTATTACTAAACCTTTGTTTTATAGCTGTGCTTGGTGTGGTTTTTGCTAACACTTGGAACCGACTACAGAGATAGAGTCTCAAGCTAGATAGGGCAAAGATATACAACACATAATACACCAATCTAAACAAAATTAATATCAATACACATAAATTTTAATTTTGGCGCTAACACATAAAACATACAAGACTATACACACATACACAATCAATACAATATATATAAATGGTATGTCCCGTACGTTTAAAATTACTTCTGATCTGGGTTCTGTTTCTCACCTACAAATTCTTAAGAAATATATCAAGATTAGATTTGAAATTAAACCTGAAATTTCACGCTTTTTTTGCGCTATCAAGCAGGTAGATGTTACAACCAACCAGTCGGCAAGAATATCCTTTCTATGATTCCTAATAAGAATGCACAGTTTTTGAAATTAGAACATCCTGAAACATATACAGACCATTCATTCCGAAGAACATCGGCAACATTACTGGCTAATACAGGAGTTGATATATTAGCAATCAAGATACATGGTGGGTGGAAATCAGCTACAACTGCAGAAAGTTATGTTGCTGACAGTTTAAGTAACAAAAATGTAATAGCCAACAGGATTCTTTACAATGCCACTTCAACTCCAGGTTCTAGTAGTACGTCGCATCATGCTGTTTTAATGGATCAGTCAGCTAATATTGAGCCTCCGGTGACTGAAATGGACCGGGAAATCATTATCAGAAAAAAGTAACAATTAGTAAACGCGAGGGGAATAATTGTCCAGATTTTATAAATGTTACTACATGTAATAACTGTACAATTACATATTCATTCATAAAAATTAATATAATGTAATGTTCATCAAATATTTCTATTTATTTGTTCATAAATTATACATTTATAACTCGAAATCGCTTTTTTCCCTAGGGGGGTAAGTTACCTCACTTACCTCCCGTTGTCCATAGCAACTTCCACTTCTACGGTAAAATCCACTTACCTCCTTAAAAATAATGTATTAATAGTCTATTTATTATAGTGGGAATAAATAAAATTAATTTTTCTCTTATGACCAGCGCATTCACCAAAATATAGAACGTGCAATATTCAACTCATTGTGCATTATTGTTGCATTTAATGACTCACCATTCTATTTTAGGATCTGCCACGAATGTAAATGAATATTATTTAATAGTTAAAGAGTCATTATAATTTATTAAGCATTAACAAAAGTGACTAAGCCTTCGAATACAAGGTAATACGACATTTCCGACGCTTCCATATTATTTTATTGGATCAATTATTGCGAGCGGTATATAAAGTTAAAAAATATATAATATGTCACAGTTTGTACATGAAGTGAACTGGCGTTGTCTAAATATGAGCGTGAAGTTCACTGCTTGTTTGGTTTTTGCTATTCTTACGGCATGTTTGGTGAGTTGTAATAGTTTTTGTTTAAAATTTTTGGATTTGACGTAAATGAAAGTTTTAATAATTAAAAAATTAAAACGATTATAAATGAATTGTTGATTTGGAAAGGATTGTTGATGTTTATGAGCGTATTTAAAAAAAAATAAAGTATGATATCTAAACATTGGCAACCTTAAGAAAAAATACTACTAATGCTTTATGTAAAAATATTGTGGCTCTAGGGGTTCATTTCTTGAAACCAAATAGGCTAGCATTACTTTTTTGTGATATTTTCTTGTTACACCACGCTACGAATAGCTTGAAGGTTTTCTCATATCTCTCTTTGGATTTCTCGAGAATTATGGCTGAGCATCCTACCTGTCGAGCATTTCTCAAGTCTGAATCGTCACTTTTTTTAATATAACTTACAAGAAACTTAAGTTGTAACAAAAGTATTATCTTGGAGAAATTTCTAATGACAGCAGATGTCACTTGACCATAAATACTCGGTTTCATTATAACCAAAATGAAAACATTTTCATTTACGACTTGTCTGTTTTATACAGGCTGAATCAAAATTCCGTACAAAGAATTTTTATAAACATGGGTCCACAAATGCTACTAGTGTTAAAGTTTTTAATTTTTTCGATTTTTTGGGAATAATTTCCAAACAAATTTGAATGTTAGCATAAAATTTAGAGTACGTGGTTTTTTTAAGGTGCTAAAATTAAACATAATAATTACATTTAAAAGACATCTATAAAAGTTTTGAATATTTGAATGTCTGATTCCTTTACAGAGCACCAAGGGTACCTGCCATTTCTATTTGTTTATTTCATTATTGACACTAGACCTACGACAACTAGCAAGGTCTTTGTTATTCATAATCAATACATTACATGTTCTATAAACTGATAGTTAAATGTCTTCATTAAATTAAATCTGGTGTGTTTTCTACTGTTATTATTATTTTTTTAATAGTATAATTTCCTATACCTTTGCTATGAACTCTTATGTCATTTTGTTTTGTTTTTATTATATGTAACTTGTAAAAAGACCTTTAATTTTTAATAACAAGACTGGCTTTCATTAAATGAAAATAGCATGCTTTATTTTTAGACTCAAAAATTGCATCGACACAAAAAGTTTTAGAAAAATTGGTTTTTGTAAAGCCAATGTTAGAGATTAAGACATCCTGCAAATTGCAATACTGAAACAAAAACAACTTACTGGTTAATAATTTGTAATCACTATTTAAATAAAACACATTTTTAAATTAGATACTGGGCGATGCATATCCTCAGGGAGGTCTTAGTGGTTTGACTGCTGATGGAAAAGTTTTACTGCATACCTCAGGAATAGAGAAAGGGCATACACATACTGCGAATTGTTTTGGGTTTAATCAAGGAGGGGGGCCGCCACCAAGTAAGAAAAGCATATTTTTTTATATTTTATAGCAAAGAACATATTTTTTTAGTTTGAATTTTTTCCCCATAATTTTAAATAAAATAAATTGTCAAAACTTGACTACTTTATTAATAATTGTAGCGTGTATTATAATAATTCGTGGGTGTTTCTTTCTGTAATTTAACTATATTTTCAGCAACTGCAGCAACAACTACAACAACAGCGTCATCACGGTAGAGAAGAATAACTGCACATTGTGAATAATTTGAAACAAAACTTTTGAAAACAAATAAAGCACTGTTAGATAACTGTGGTTTTGATACAATATTGTGATACCTTATTACAGTTCCCAAGACTGGATTGTTGTCAAGTCGAACAAATTAACTAAAGTAATTAATAATAAGCAAGTTCTATGGTTTGACTGAACAAAATCTTGAGACATGGTTATATCACCATGTATTATGCCACCGTATACAGTAACTTTCTTGCTTGAATCATGTTATTTCGATCATATTTCCATTAATTTTGATTCTAACGACGTTTAAAACAGCTCATTTTAAAGGTTTTTCAAAGTACTTTAAAAAAGATTCAAATAGTTTTTTTTCCTATTTATGGTTTTGGCGTTATTTAACGTTAACTAGTTCCAATTTAGTTTTAGCTAACATATAATGTTTAAAAATCCATAACTCGGTTTATATTACAATTAGAGAAAAACAAAATACTGCCATTATATTTGGTTTTTTATTACCTTTCTTTTTGTTCATTACAACTTTTTCGTTAAATCCAATGGTTTCAGAGTTATTTGCAAAAAACTGTCTGAAAGTAAGCACTTTTCCAGTAAAAACTCAACATTTTCAATGACGAATTACTCGGAAAGTATTGGATTATTAAAAAAACTGAAAGTTGATTCCTCTATCGATTTGTGTGGTTATTTTGTACGAAAAAATTTCCACCCCCAGGAAGGGGTAGGAACCATCCCCAGGGCAAAAGCACACTTCGGCACTTTATAAGTTTTATTCATTGAGGCATTCCTCACATTCAGTCAAAATTTCACGTCAATCGGTTCAGTTATAAAGAATTCGGAGGTGAAAACCCTGAGTAACTGGACTATACTTATGTAGGGGAACTCAAAATATATTTTATGGTGATTTAACGCAACTTACATTTATACTAAGCTGCACCCATGAGAAGTTATAGGCCTTGAAATTGGGGTTTTAAATTAATTTCGAAAAAAATCGATGTCTCATTTATATTTGAACTTAGAAAAACCAAATTTGGTATTCGGTGTGAGTATACCAAGAGTATTAATCGACACGTAGAGTTCAATTGAACCATTTTAAAGGGTTGATAAGGGATGATGCACCATTAAAATGTGACACAATTTTTTTTTTAAATTATTACTTTATTTTATGGGGAACTTAATTCTAAAACTTTTCTTGCTCCTGTTAGTTTTCAAAAACCTTTGTCGTTTTCAACAAAAATAGGAATAACTAATAATACGTATTGTAAGCTGTTACTTAAAATCACCTAAAATTTAAAAGTTCGTGATTTAGTGATGTGTATTTTTATTAGTCTGTTTTTTTAATGTAAGATTTTTGGTTAGGCAAACATGATTTCACAAAACTCTTTGACTTTTTTGACATTTTTAAAATTTTGTTACTTGATTTTCTCTTTTACTATACCTCATTTGTTTGTGTTTCTTTATGTGTCATATTTAATTATTTCTCTGTATATGTTTTTGTTTGTATTAGTGTTATGTTGCCTATTTGTTAATTGACTGTGGCCTGTTGAAAAGTGAAAATACAAGAGAAGATTTCTAATTTTTTCGAGGTGGCAAAATACGCAAATACATAGAAAAAAAAACTAAAATTATGTCACAAATATATAACATTAGAGAATTTAAATAAAATTATTACTTTAATTTTATTCTTATTATTGTTTATAGTTATAAATTATGGTATAAAGAAAACATATCTCTATATGTTCTTATAAGAGCAAGATATGATGTGATTCATTGAATAAATTGAAGAAACTAAGAAGGATCTAAAACTGAACGGCTGAATCACCACTTAATAATCTGTTGGAAAACTCAACACAATTTGGAGATGAATAGTGTGAAGGTCATTGATTTCAAGTTTACAAATATTTACTTATTGTACTCTTAACATAATTTAGGAGAAACCCATTCGTGAAGAAACCAATAACTTAAAATGGGCATGTCAAAAACCATGAAGGACGATATACAGGGTACTCTTTATGTCTATCAAACTCCAAGAGATTGTTTCTTGCGACATTTTACATCAAAAAGGCTTAATAAATCTAGATTTTCAAAAGGGTGTTGAATTTTTTATAAGTCTAATAAAAATTTCAACATTTGTTCTAATTGTTTTCGTTTATTTTAAGGAATAGAATTTTATGAAATTGTTAAATAAAAATAAACAAATTTTAAATTTGAATCTTTATTCGTACATTTGGGTACACGCAATTTAATAAATTTAGACTAATTGCTAGATCAACTAAACTTCTGATAATGTTTTGATTCTGTTTACTGTTCAACATCTCCACCAGCACCGCCACCGGCTCCAACTCCACCACCAACACCAGCATTAAATCCAAACCCTATGTTCGCCTGTCCCCCCAGTCCGCCCATTCCCCCTAGGCCTCCTTGTCCTCCTGGCATGTAAGGGATCTGCCCTTGAACCATGCCCTAAAAAAAAATAGTTCTTTAAAATACGATCTTTATTATAAACTCTGGTATTTTTTTCTTCTTCATTTATTCTAGAGGTCTTCCCAACATAATGCATTAACAACATCTGCTAAAATGCAAATTGAAAATTGATTGGGTACGCTTCTGATAAAAAAGTCCGTAAATTATTAGTTGTCTGAAAAATTATTCTAGTGTTATTCTGTTATTAATAATTAAAATGCAGAAATAAGTATAGTGGCCGCATTTCGTGTTGGTCTCTGCCCAAAGTGATGTCCAAATGGTCCAAAGCTACTAGCAGCAAGCAAAAATAGGAGATAACTAAAAAACATAAATTTTTTTTATTGGTACGTAGTATTCGGAAATATAATTTTTTATTTTAGAAAATAACCAATAGTTATTTTTGTAACGGACTATCAGATCATAAGGTTATATGACATCAATTGATGGGAATTAAAAAAAAATATTGTATTAATTTAAGCTAAAGTAAAAAAGAATACCTAACGTTTTTTCTACATACTGTCACGTATCCCTTNTGTATGTACACAAATTGGAGCCGTTCCTGAAAAATCGGGCGAATATGGTTGCAGTGTAAATTATTAGACTTGAAGCGTTGGCCGCTAGAGAAGCACCTGCCGGGGTCCCGTTTCGTGACTCACGCTGGGCGATATTTTTTGTACAAAATCCCGTCCTTAAGTAATTATAAACCGGAAATATTTTCACTTTTTTACCATAATTTATTTATTATTTTGCTAATTTTACTCAAATTTTGAAAAAGTTGTTTTTTTGTGGTATAAACTCGAATATCTGCGATATTTTTGAGATAAATATAGAGGGCGTTCTGAGCGCCCTTACCACTACATTATTTCCTTCATATTTTTATTTGGTTGATAGTTATTTTGTTACCTTAATTGTTGTAGTATCTTTATCTTTCATGTTGTCATATTTTTCAGTGTTTGGTTTCATGTTTCACGTTTTCAGTTGTTGTAAGGACCACATTACTAACAACCTATCGAATTAATAATTTATTGTAATTTATGTATTATTTTCCTCATTATGTAGGTATCTACTTTAAACGCTATTTTCTCTGAAACGGAGCATTTCAGGGACATGCAGCTAGGATACCTTTTTAAAAGCAAATCGAATGCTGTTTTAAAATGACTAATCATTTTCCTAAAATATAGATCCTTAAAGAAAATCTTAAGGAAACAATGCAGTGACAAGTGCGCTCAGAACGCCTTGTATATTTATCGCAAAAAAAAACAAGGAGATATTCGTGCTTATAACACAAAAAACCTACTTTTCCAAAATTTGAGTAAAATTATTTAACTAATGAATTATAGTAAAAAAGTGAAATAAAAAAACTGCTTTCCCGGGCCTATAACTTTTTAAGGAAGCAAGATGCTATCAAGGTAAGTTGATTTAAATCCTTATTTTCATTCAGAGAACCTAGCCTTAAAGTATGGCCTATTCTTTAGTAAACACCCTGTATACAATACTTTTGTTTATACTTTGCTGTCAACTAAAACTATTCGTACGCATCGAAAATTTTACAATTTCGTACTACTACCGTTGATTTTATAAGCTATGCGCTACTACTAAAATCACGAGCCGTCGCAAAAAGTTTCCGTTGTTCCATTAGGATGATCCTTCACGGTTTGGTGTATAATCGACCTTACATTACATCCCAGTCACAACAGCATCATACAAATGAAACGGAATAGATACAAACATTACTGATTGTTAATAATTGCCATGTACTGCAACAAATTTAAAAATTTTAATTTGAAGAATAGTTTATTCAGGAAAACAGGCAGTATGATTAAGATTAATTCGCCAGTAGCGTTACTTAAGAAATTATTATCACAGTTTTTACTTCCGACAAGGTTTTTAACAACTAAACAAAAATAAAACAAAGAATAAATATTTATTTCAATTGGAAAATTGTACTTTATACTTTTGCTTAAATTATGTCTTCTACTAAAACTTAGTGCTAATATTAATTGCTAGCTTTTTGAAATCAATTAATTAATGATTTAATTAACTAATTATTTAAATTAAGTAATTAAAATCTTACCAATACGGCTATTAAAAGCACTATAATCATTGATACAGTTTTCATTATATGGAACTAAAATTAGTAATAAAGTTCTAAAGCGAAATGCATATTATTTATGATATTTTTTTTAATAACAACAGGAAGTACCTACATATATGAAATCAACATAATTTACATTTTATTAAATTAATTATGTCTAACGTTGAAATTATTGACATTGTTGCAATGTTACATGTTACAATTTTAATGACAAAACTATGTTTCAATTTGCTATTGTTCTGGCAAAGCGATATTATGAAAATCATATTTAACATTGACTTATTAGTCTTTAATCAATATTATTTAACAGGTAAAAATGACTTTTGTTAAAAATTCTTGTTTTAAATTTGTGGTTTCTAGGAAATTTTATCGATTTTTTTACTTCCTATTTAACGGCAACGCCTATGACATGAAAATGTCCTTTAAATCTATAGTTATCATAAAAAATTGTTTGTGTGACATCTATCTATCACTTGAATATCAAGATTTTTCCAAATACCAAGAAACAGCTTGCACGTGTCGAATTTCCGTTTTTTTTCTCACAAAAATTTATTTAAACTCTCGTATTTCTCAGATTTGTATCAGTTGTTTTAAGATTGTTTTAAGCATAATAAAAATGACACGTTTGTCTTTAATATATTATTTGGCAATAATTATTCTGGTGAGTTCAAATAACCTTTAAATATTTCATGAATATACGAAGTGTCTCTTTGTCTGTGCTTTCTAAAGACCTTATTCTTTTTATTTAACTCTTTTTACGGCAACTCTTTAGATATATTTTAATCAAAATTAATTTAAGGGAGTCTTTGAGACTGTAGGTATAAAAATAATTTGTCTACATAAGCGATAGAAGTTGTTAGGAAGAGAACAGCTTAATCAAACTTTTGTTTTTTTTTGTTATATTTTTTTTCTGGTAGAGATTTTCAGAAAATGTTGCCTGTTTTTAAAGCTTTATTTATTATCAAAATGTGTACCTACTTGTTGCATGTCATTAAAATGCATAGTTTCAGAGAAAAAATTATATTTAAAAAAATTAGTTAAGATGGTTTAGAGTTGACTATATTCGAACCAATAGTTGAGCAAGGTGCCTTAATCTGTGTTCATTATTTTTGTATTACAGGTTCAGATTGGGAATGGCGTTTTGGCCCATAAAATCGGAGGATATCATGGTCCAGTGCATGGTGGTTTTGGCAGCTTGGGAGGCATTGGCAGGGGCGGTATGGGAAGAGGGAGAATTATAGGTGGTGGAGTTCGAGGACCTAGGGTTGGAACTGGCCATTCTATGGGAATGGGTTCGATAGGGATGACGGGTGGAATAGGAAAGAAAAAATTGTAACGCGACTATTAAAAACATCGTAAAATATAGTATTTTTTTAGTAGAATGCAGCTGTTTTAATTGATAATCCTTTATCAAAACCAAAAAAATGGAATTTAAGGAGATTTCTTATTATTTTTATTAATAACAATAGTAGGGACTTAAAATTACTGGAGTATAAACTATTAAATTGGTTATAGTTCTAGTAATAACAAAACTATTAAACAAAGTAGTAAAAATTAAAAAAAATATCTTAGTTATCCTGATTGTCTGAAGTTACTTATTTGTAGCATAGTTTTCGATTTTTTTTTATTTTTAGGTATTTTGCCACCTGTGAAAAAATTTAATAAAAAAACTAGATTTTCGAGACATTAACGACCTTTTTCTGAAAAAACTTAATTTTTATTATTTTATAGAATACCACAAATAAATATTAACTAATAAAATTAATTCAAAATGGAATGATAAATTATGAACTGACAAGTTGACACAATGTGAGAGTTTTTTCCAAAGCCATTTCGTGCAACCGAAAATAATAAAAATTAGGTTTTTCCAGAAATGTTGCTATATCTTAAAAACTAACAACTTTAGGT